ATAATTTTAAAACCGATTAAGTTGGTTTGGTTTTGGTTTTGACCAATAACCGATCCAAACCAACCCGTGAACACCCCTATTTGTATGCTATAGCAAAATTTGCATAATTGCGCTTCATAGCAAACATATATATGTATAATTCGCTATACATATACAATTGAAAACTATGTCATTTCGCTATATATATATATATATATATATATACAAAAAGAAGCAATTGTATAATTCATTGGCTCCTCTTCAGATTTGTATAATTTCGCTGGCAAGCCATTTGTATAAATTGTTGTTAGCCTCTCGTTTGTATAAATCGTTGACAAAAATATTTGTATATAAAAAATCGCTCTCTCTTTCGCTTTATAAAAACATAAATCATACATTATATTTGTATAATCTGTGTTTATATAAAACGAGAAAGAGAGAAAGGCAAAAGAAAACTGGGCAGGGTAGTATTTGTATTGTATAATTATAAGTGTATAAGACGAATATATATGTATTTGCATGTGTATATACAATTTTCTCGCGCTTTATACAAACAGAAACACAATTTATACAATTCTGTTGTATAAAACGAGAAAGAGAGAAAGGCAAAAGAGAACTGGGCAGGGGAATATTTTTATTGTATAATTATAAGTGTATAGGACGAATATATATGTATTTGCATGTGTATATACAATTTTCTTTCGCTTTATACAAACATAAATTATACATTATATTTGTATAATCTGTGTTTGTATAAAACGAGAAAGAGAGAAAGGCAAAAGAGAACTGGGCAGGGGAATATTTTTATTGTATAATTATAAGTGTATAGGACGAATATATATGTATTTGCATGTGTATATACAATTTTCTCTCGCTTTATACAAACATAAACGCAATTTATACAATTCTGTTGTATAAAGCGAGAGAGGCGAGCACAGAGGGAGCGAGTGAGAAAGGGAGAGTGGCGAGCGAGAATTTGGAGGGAGAGAGGCGACTGACAAACGTTTTCTACGGGGCTCTCAATTAAATCAAACAGTAGCTACTCCATTTATTTTAGATTATAAGTTTGTCATTCTGTACAATTATCCCTTTCAGTTATAATCCATATATTAAATTTCAACTAAATTAATTCACTTTAACCCATGGTCAAGTGGTATAGGGTTTTATTAAATTATAAACTTAGCCCATTAATTACCAATTAAATTAATTCTCTAAAAAATTTCTGCTAATTAATTAACTAAAGTTAACTGAATAGTTCAAAAATTTCAAAAATGACCTTTCGATTCATTACATTATCCACCACTAAAAACCTTGTTTATCCTCGAACATAAAGTAAAAGAAAGTAGAATACTTGAACGATACCAAGAGCCTGAGGTATGATTTCCACAGTCATGTTAATCTCTCAAAGTGAACTCATACTTAGGACCATTCCATCAAAGATCAACTTAGCAAGAACTAAACTTTCGAATCATAATTTGACAGATCTATAAATCAGGAGTGATTATCAAGCCACAGACTAACCAATGAACCCAATCTAAACTGAAACTCACTGGACCATAACACAACCATCATGATGAATATTTTCTTACATAATCAAGACAACATTTTGAATCGATACTGGCTACCACCAGAAGTGAACTTGAACCAACCACCACACCTTCATAATGCACAAACCATCACATATCTTATCAAGATTTCCTTTTTACAACACAATATTTTCAGGAGTTTAAGTTATAAAAATATGATCTTTAAACATCGGGTACTCATCAAGGGAGGATCAAACTTATCTAACCCAAAGAAGAACAAGATCAAGAAACCACCCATCACACTACAAGAAAAGTGTGAATTACATGGGGCTTTTCCTGGGGATTAGTATGAAAATTTGCAGGAAAATAAGTTTCCTATGAATTTTCATACTAATCCCCAGGAAAATCCCCATTTAAATCACAGTTTTCTTATAGTGTCAAGCGTACACCCAAGTATACAAAATATCTAACAACACCGTCAGAATGCTAGATAAGTAGATCGATGTGATCGTAGACAACCCTTAAGAATGGTAGAACTAGATTTTATGGTCCCCACATTCGACCAAACATAACCGGAACGTGACCTTGATGACTAGGTGAATATTAAAACTGCC